CGAAATGCTCGAACCTTCCAAAATAACAAAAAGCAGTCGTCAAGCGTGCTGTCCGTTGTGCTCCGGGCTCGGCACACGTACATTCTCTCCATTGTGCGGCTGTGTTTAATCACCGGAACAGCCTCCCGATTACCGTGCACTTTCCCCCCGCGTTAAAACTAAAATAAAATAAAAACCTATCCGATTGGCAAGGTGGCTTCAGCGATAAGAGGGAGCGGCCCGCGGTCTGGAGGTCAAATCATGGATGGGGTGGGGCCGTTGACTCAGCCCCATCATCCCTCCGGGGGGGGGGAGGTCAATGAAAATGACCACCGCTTTGTACGAAAGTCGATAGCAGCGTTCTCCTATCAGGATAGCCTCGCGCCCGTCGTAGCAATGTGGAATTGTCACCACTCTAAACAGGGAAGGAGCATTAATGCCGCCTCAATGTGGCTCGGTCGAGTGGCAGGAAATCAGTTTTACTGTTGTTGTTTTTAAAAACAAATGTTGGCTGTGCATCCTAAAAGCTGGCAGAACAGCGTCACATTCATTTCGGCTCGCTTATCGGATATGTAAACAAAGAGGTGGCATGTCTGTCAGTAACTTCAGCTGCACATTTTTTGTATTTTGTATGTATGCAAGTAAGCCCCGCGTGATGCGCTCACACAAAGGCGAGAGCTTCACATTTCCGTGGCTGTCGTAATGTGGTTTTTTGTGACAACTAAAATCTTTTGGTATTGACGAACGCTTGAGGAACCACCGCCCAAGTGACTTCCACGTGGGCGGTTTAGCTCGAATTTCCTCTTTAATTTCATATAATGGGAGAAAAAAAATGTTTACGCTGATAACATTCAAAGTGCGCACGTCTGATGCGCAATGCGCAGCTATAATTCCCGTGAACGAAGTGTTTGAGGGCCTGGTCTCTCTACCAAGACGCCGACTGTTTCGCCCTATCAGTCACACGGTGTTTAACCAGCACAACACTGCAGGTCACAACAATTCACTCACCCAATCACCAACACTCACGAACGCACTCACTCATTCAGCCACGGCCACGCCCACTCACTCACCCAATCACTCATCAATTTACTAATCTACTCACTCACTCCATCACTCACCAACTCAGTCACTCAGCCACTCACCCAATCACTCATCAACTCACCAACTCACACGCCCACTCACTTATCAATTCACTAACCCACTCACTCACCCGCCCACTCACTCACCCACCCACTCACTCACACGCCTATTCACCCACTCACTCGCTCAGCCACTCACCCAATCACTCATCAATTCACCAACCCACTCACTCACACGCACACTCAATCACTCACCCACTCATTAATTCACTAACCCTCTCACCCACTCTCACTCACCCGCCCACTCATTCACCCACCCTCTCACGGACACACCCACTCGCTCACCCACTCATCCATTCACTTACCCACTCACTCAGCCACTCACACGCCCACTCACTCACCCACTCATCCATTCACTTGCCCACTCATCCATTCACTTACCCACTCACAAAGCTACTCACACGCCCACTCATCAAGTCACTCACCGACTCACTACGCCACTCACTCACCAACCCACCCACTCACCACACTGCTGGTCAATCTCACTTCGCTCTGCTTCTCCCCTCGCACTGCTCCTCTCTGGAATTCCCTCCTCCTCATTCCATCATCATCATCGTTTCTTCTCGTACTCGTTCAAATAAACTGTTAGATCTTCTCTCAGGAAAACTTTGATACTTGTGCTGTTTGTTGCTGACCGCTTGAAATTTCTTGACTTTTTGGCCCCGTACTTCGCAGTCGTGTTCAAAGAACATGAACATATTAAAAGTCGCATCAGTATAGTACACGTTTGACTATTCAATGGCCATGCAAATCAGCCGTGTTGTATGCGTGTGTGTTTAAGTACATTTGCATACACTATGGGGAGCGGTGGCGCAGTGGTTAGCGCGCTGTCCTGGGCCTCCCTTAGGTCAACTCGGCGTGACCCCTACCCTCAATCCTGGCCGTGTCCCCGCACGAACCCTTATCAGACCATATCACCGTCGGGTAATTGACGCGCAGGGATGCGTTGTCGTCGTCCCGTGTGCGATTCGACCCTCCTGGCTGCTGTAGTTCACGTGGTGGAGCCACGGTGAGCCAGACCGGACCCTGCAGAGAGCCCGCGGCAGGTACAGGACAGACCCCGCTCGGCACGCGGCTCGTCAAGGTGCAGGGCCTGCAATGCCTCGCTCGCTCGCGCTGCTGCTGATGCTGCTGCTACTGATGATGCTGCTGATGCTGCTGCTGCTGGTGCTGCTGATGCTGCTGATGCTGCTGATGCTGCTGCTACTGATGCTGCTGCTTATGCTCCTGCTGATGCTGCTGATGATGATGCTGCTGCTGATGATGCTGCTGCCTGATGCTGCTGATGATGATGCTGCTGCTGCTGATGCTGTTTATGCTGCTACTGATGCTGCTGCTTATGCTGCTGCTGCTGCTGCTGATGATGCTGCTGCTGCTGCTGATGCTGCTGATTATGATGATGCTGCTGCTGATGATGCTGCTGCCTGATGCTGCTGCTGATGATGCTGCTGATGATGCTGCTGCTTATGCTGCTGCTGCCTGATGATGCTGCTGCTGATGCTGTTTATGCTGCTGCTGATGCTGCTGCTTATGCTGCTGATGCTGTTGATGCTGCTGATGCTGCTGCTGATGATGCTGCTGCTGATGCTGCTGCTGCCTGATGATGCTGCTGATGCTGCTGCTGATGATGCTGCTGATGCTGCTGCTGCTGCCTGATGATGCTGCTGCTGATGCTGCTGCTGAAGCTGCTGCTGCTGATGCTGCTGCGTGGAAGCTCTGCTATAGCGAGCACTACCTTGAGAGTAATTTGGACAACTCTTTCACACCGGCTTAATGTCTTTGAAAGGGGGGCGTGGGGATACCTAAACTCTACCCCACCACACCTGACCAGCCGATCGTCTGCGTGGGCAGATGCGGTGGTGGGGGGGGGGGGGGGTTAATAAACTTGCCACCACCGCTTCAACCGCGGCACCGCGAGAACGAACCTCCCGGGTTAGTCTGCCAGTCGAGCGCAATTCTGACATTGACTCGGTACTGGCAGAATCGTGCCCATTAAGCGGCTCTGATTCGTCGACATGAGTCTCCAGGTCTCAATGTGAGTACTGTGTGTGGTGTGTCCCTTTGTGAGTCTACGGGTCTCTATGTGAGTCTGTTGGTCTATGTGAGTCTGTGGGTCTCTATGTGTGAGTCTACGGGTCTCCATGTGAGTCTGTGGGTCTCTATGTGAGTCTGTGGGTCTCTATGTGTGAGTCTACGGGTCTCCATGTGAGTCGGTGGGTCTCTATGTGAGTATGTGGGTCTATGTGAGTCTGTCGGTCTCTATGTGAGTCTATGGGACTCTATGTGAGTCTATGGGTCCCTGTGTGAGTCTGTGAGTCTCTATGTGAGTCTATGGGCCTCTATGTGAGTCTATGGGTCTGAATGTGAGCCTGTGGGTCTCTATGTGAGTCTGTGGGTCTCAATGTGAGCCTGTGGGTTTCTATGTGAGTATACGGGTCTCTACGTGTTTATGGGTCTCTATATAAGTCTATGGGTCTCTTTGGGTCTATGGGTCTCTGTCTACGTTGAGTCATTGATGGCCAGGTTGAGACCATCAACTCAATATACTCGAGGACCCGGGTTCAATCGCAGGGGATGTGCGGTTGAAACCCACAAGATTTGAACCCAAGTTCTCAGAGGTGCCGGCTCAGCATCTCGGACCCTCCAAGCCAGCGGTCCTCAACCTTTTGGCACCAGGGACCGGTTTCGTGGAAAACAATTTTTCTCACGGACCGGGGGAGGGGGGGTCATCATTGGGTCTTTCCTCCTTTTCAAAGAAGCTCTCCAGCGACGTTTGTTTTTTTTTACAAATTTTGGCTACTAGGGGGTTAGAGCTCGTGGGCTGACTAACACATGCGTGACTGAGACGAGTGCGCAGTGCGGGAAAGAGGCACGGATGGAAGTGGTGAATAATAAAACAATGGGGGAGGGCCACGCGGGGACTCACCGCTCTCACCTCGTGCTGTGCCGCCCGGTTCATAAGAGGCCACGGACCCGGTAGCGGTCCGCGGCCCAGGGGTTGGGGACCCCTCTGCTCTAAGCCACGCGTCTCGCTGTCTATTAATAGCTCCCAGATTTCGCACGCACTTTGGATCAAAAGCATTCAATGGCGCTGCTGCCCCAAACTGTTTGGAACCGCCAACCCAGCTTCGTCTCTTGGCATCTCCCGTCTGCCATCTCTGTCCTCGTTTAAACTGACTTTTCTTTATTAAAAAATCACTCAAGTTTAAGTGTGAATGTAATTTGACAATATTACCGCTATTATTAAGTCTGTTTGATTTAGATTTTTAGTTTATAATTGTGGAATGCTTTGATTGATGTCTGCCGGCCGAGTGACTCCCTATAGAAAGAGCTCATTAGCTCACTTTGGCTTTACTCAGCGGCAAATACACTCCTGATTCTGAATAGCGTGGGTGAGGGTGCGAGAGTGGGTGAGTGAGTGGTTAAGTGGGTGGATTAGTGAGTGATTGGGCGAGTGTGTGGATGGGCGAGCGAGCGAGCGCGTGAGTGTGTGGGTGTGTGGATGAGTGAGCGTGGTGTGAGTGTGTGGTTCATATTCTTTAGTTCTTTCGGTAAAGTCACGTAGGTATAAAACATAAAATAAAAATTTAATCACCACGTTTCGATCGCAACGTCGTGATTAAATTTTTATTTTATGTTTTATACCTACGTGACTTTACCGAAAGAACCAAAGAGTATGGATCCCTGCAGTCACGAAAACTTCAAACCTCGAATGAGTGTGTGGTTGTGCAAATGCCGGCCCTCTTGAAACCAACGGGAAATGAAACCTCCGGACATCCGATCCAAATCCTTTCTAACCTCGCCCCTCCCCCCCCGCCTCTTCCTCTCCCCCTAATCAACAACAACAACAACAACCACAACAACAACAAACAACGAGCGCAGACGAGTCGTCCTCTCCGTCACCGGGCGGCGACGTCAACCAGCTTGGCGGCGCCTTCGTGAACGGCCGCCCGCTCCCCGCCGCGCTGCGCCTCCGCATCGTCGAGATGTCGCGCCGGGGCGCGCGTCCCTGCGACGTCTCGCGGGCCCTGCGCGTCTCGCACGGCTGCGTCTCCAAGATCCTGGCGCGTTTCCGCGAGACGGGCTCCGTGCTGCCCGGAGCCATCGGGGGCAGCAAGCCGCGCGTCGCCACGCCCGCCGTGGTGCGCCACGTCCGCGAGTGCAAGCGGCGCGAGCCGGCAGCCTTCGCCTGGGAGATCCGTGACCGTCTCGTCGCTGACGGCGTCTGTGACAGGTGGGGGCTGGGGGGGGGGCATGGGGGGAAGGGGGGAAGGGGGTGGGGGGGGTAACATAGAGGCCCATAGACGAACACAGAGAGCCATAGATTGACATGTAAATCCATAGCCCGACATAGAGACCCATAAACTAACATTGAGATCCAAATACTAACATAGACACCAATAGATTGACATAGAGACCCATCAATTAACATAGAGACCCATAGACTAACGTAGAAACCCACGGACTAACATAGAGACCCATAGATTAACACATAAACCCATAGATTAACATATACACCCATAGACTAACGTAGAAACCTACAGACTAACATAGAGACCCATAGATTAACACGTAAACCCATAGATTAACATAGAGACCCATAGACTAACGTAGAAACCCACAGACTAACATAGAGACCCACAGATTAACACATAAACCCATAAATTAACATAAACACCCATAGACTGACGTAGAAACCCACAGACTAACATAAAGACTCATAGACTAACACAAAGACCCATAGATTAACACAGAGACCCATAGTCTTACCGATAAATTCAATAGTCTAACAGAGGACCCCTCGGCTAGCAAAGAGGTCCATAGATTAACAGAGAAAACCATAGATTAATATAGAGACCCATAGACTGACGTAGAAACCCACAGACTAACATAGAGACCCATAGACTAATATAGACACCCACAAATTAACATAGATACCCGTATACCAATATAGAGACCCGGAGATGAACAGAAAAATCACATAGACTAACACAAAATTCATAGATTAACATGGAGACCCATAGACTTACATATAAATTCAATAGACTAACATAAGGACCCCTAGGCGAGCAAAGAGGTCCATAGATTAACAGAGAAAACCATAGATTAACGTAGAGACCCATAGACTGACATAGGGACCCATATGCTAACATAGAGACCCATAGACTGACATAGGGACCCATATGCTAACATAGAGACCCATAGACTGACATAGTAACCCGCACCAACCACTCCCTTGCCCGGCAGGCTGAGCGTACCCTCGGTGAGCTCCATCAGCCGGATCCTGCGGAACAGGACGGAGGGCGGCGGAGGATCGGCACCACCCCTGCCCCCACTCGGGGTCAAAGCCGAGACCCCCGCTGACCTCCCCGCGCACTTCACGTGGCCGTGCCCTCCACCGCCACCCAGGCTGCCCCTCGCTACCCCGGAGCCGGACGGGCCCCGCGGACTCAAGCCGCCCACCCCCTCGGCCCTGGGCAGCCCGCTGGTGTGGCACACACCGCACGGGGTCCGGGAGAGCCTGCACTTCGGCGCCGGTGAGAGCGGCGTGAGAGGCACGGGGGAGAGACACGGGGGAGAGACACGGGGGAGAGATACTGGGGAGAGACACCGGGGAGCGAGAGACTGGGAGAGCCAGAGACAGACAGGGAGAGGCGGGAGGCACGTGGGAGAGACACGGGGGAGAGACACGGGGGAGAGATACTGGGGAGAGACACCGGGGAGAGACAGACTGGGAGAGCCGGAGACAGCCGAGGAGAGACTGGGAGAGGCGGGGAGACACAGGGGAGAGACACGGGGGAGAGACACGGGGGAGAGACACGGGGGAGAGACACGGGGGAGAGACACCGGGGAGAGACAGACTGCGAGAGCCGGAGAGAGACAGGGAGAGGCGGGGAGAGGCGGGGAGGCACGTGGGAGAGACACCGGCGAGAAACACGGGGGAGAGACACGGGGGAGAGACACGGGGGAGAGACACCGGGGAGAGACAGACTGCGAGAGCCGGAGAGAGACAGGGAGAGGCGGGGAGAGGCGGGGAGGCACGTGGGAGAGACACCGGCGAGAGACACGGGGGAGAGACGCGGGGGAGAGACACGGGGAAGAGAGACACCGGGGAAAGTCACCGGGGAAAGTCACCGGGGAAAGTCACCGGGGAGAGACACTGGGGAGCGGCGGGGAGTCAGGGGAGAGACACCGGGGAAAGTCACCGGGGAGAGACACCGGGGAGAGACAGACTGGGAGAACCGGAGAGAGCCGAGGGGAGACAGGGAGAGACTGGGAGAGGAGGGGAGACACGGGGGAGAGACACCGGGGAGAGACACCGAGGAGAGACAGACTGCGAGAGCCGGAGACAGCCGAGGAGAGACCGGGAGAGGCGGGGAGAGACAGAGCTCGCTCACGGCTACAACGAGCCGAGAGGGAATGTGGACACTGACCAGAGATATAATTTTCTATCTACGTCGGATCAAACCTCCCGTAGATCACGTGACTTATGCGTGGCCACGCCCAGTCGGAACGTCTCCAACCTGCCCACCGCCGCCCACTGTGAAAACAGACGCCGCACCTCCTCATCCTCCGTGCTGCTCACTTCCGCTGGCTCCTTCCTTCTTTCCTCTCCCTATCTACCTCTCATCATCATCACCCCCCTATCATCACCACTCTCTCATCATCATCACCCCCCTATCATCATCACCCCCCTCTCATCATCATCACCCCCCTATCATCATCATCATCATCACCCCCCAATCATCACCACTCTCATCATCATCATCACCCCCCTATCATCATCATCACCCCCCTCTCATCATCACCCCTCTATCATCATCATCATCATCATCACCCCCCTATCATCATCATCACCCCCCTATCATCATCATCACCCCCCAATCACCACCACTCTCTCATCCTCGACATCTCAGCCGGGCCATTCATTCTCCCCCTCCTCCTCCTTCTCCTCTTCCTGCTCCCTACTCTGCCTCCATCTCCGTCTCCTCGCTGCCCTCATCTCGAGCCGTGACCTCCTCCTCTCTGTCCGTCTTAGCCACTTCCGTCTCGGCCTTCATCCTCTCTGCCGCTCACCCTCTGCTCTCTTCTCTATTCCCATTCCGTTATCCTTTCCCCTTCCCGTGGTGTTGTGCCACGGGCACAACGATTCATTGGTTTTAAGTAGATCGACAGGCAGACGGCAAGCGGCCTTGAGCAGGACACGTATGTTGAACTTCTTTCGCACCGTACGTATCCAAGCGTGCTAAAAGGGTTGATGGCAGTGGGTCAGGGTAAACATATTGGAGTGGCAGCCAAGGAACGGAACGCGTTCCGGCAGGACGTACACCGTGGGAGATGGAGCGGTGAGATAAGGACGTCTTGCAGGTGCTGGGTGGAATATTATATTCGCGGGTGGCAGATTGGAGAGGCCTCCATCCAGGAGTGGATCGACCACGGCTGATGTCGACGGCGTGAGAACAGGAGGGGGGTTAAAGAGATGACGCGATGAGATTCTGACGACGGAGCAACCTGATGGGAGAGTCGCAAGAAGTATTGTGACCTCCGGCGTGGTGTCGGTTGAGCAGAGTGATGGACGAGACGTTAACATATTGTTAGGTTTTTTTCGGTAATATCACGTAGGTAAAAAATAAAATTTAAATTAATAAAAGTAAAATAAAATAAAAATAAAATAATAATTTTCTTTTATTTTATGTTATTTAATTATGTTATTTTATATTATTTTATTTTTATTTTATTCTACTTTTATGAATTTAAATTTAAATTTTTTTACCTACGTGACTTTACCGAAAAAAACCCTAAGAATATGAATCCTTGCAGTCACGAAAGCTTCAAATCTAGAGACGTTAACAGTCCAGTGTCTGGTAGCCTAAGGTAGCCCTCCTCCCCTGTGCCGCAGGTGTTTCCGTGTGCGAGTCGGTGCCCTACCCTGGCAAGGTGGAGGACTGGGGCTGCGTGACTCGGCTCCCTTTCCCGAGCATCGGTGCGCTCCTCGATAAACCCTCCGCAGGGTTCGACATCAAGTTCCCACAGGTTCGTCACGTGGGGTAGGAGGCGGAGAGAGGGGTGGGAGGCAGAGAACACGTGGGTGCCTTCTGAATGACTCTGTATTTGCATAGGGCGCCACGGTGGCGAGATGTCAAATACCTCGCCTGGTATACAGGAGGTCGTGGTGGGTTCGATCCCGACTCTGAGATCTTGCAGTATATTTGGAGTTGGCATGTCTCTCTCTCTCTCTCTCGCTGCGGTTGCGTGGGTTTTTCTCTCCCTTCCACACTGAGAAACATGCGTTTTAGAGTATTTGGCTGATGTAACTTTCCTGCGCAATAAGCCGCTTCGTTGAGCTGTCATTTGTGGCCAGAGTGCTTCTGAAAAAGTGCGGGATAGCTCAGTGGGGCCTACCTGGGAAAATAAAAACATAAATAATTTTACAGTTTCGTATTCTCCCTTGGAACAAACATTTAGGACTATTGAATCAGAAATATAAATCCCCCTTCTGAATATTTGTCAACATCTGCAAATAAATTAGTCACTGCACGATGCTGGATGATATTATTTCGTATATGATTAACGTCATACTATTTATATCATCATTATCATCACCTGTAAGGGTCTATCCACTGCTGGATGAAGGCCTCCCCAGACCATCGCCGTCACTTTTATTTGCTCCGTAAGGAGGGTTTGTTAGTTTTTCCCTGCAAACTCGCGTCAAGCAATTACCAAACACTGGGTGCGTGAAGTGTGTGCACGCTGCCTTTATCTGCATATGCATATAAACAAAACATTGGTAATCGTGGTAAGGCGGAGTGTGGTTTAGAGGACTCCATGGACTGGAGTTTGAGAAACGGTGATGCAAACCGCACGCCAGAGTGACGGGTTGCGTGCAACTCGGTTGCAAGTCGATTGCACGCAATTCATACTCGCAGCAGCCGCTTTTGGCTGGAACCAAGACGGTTACCACATCGCGCGCTTTCAGATGCGCTTCTTAGTGCGCTGAAAAATGTTGATACTCCGACTGATGCTCCTACTGTTGTGGAGTGACTCATGCAGCCAGCTATGGCTGCAGAGTTTGGTAGTACATGTTGTTTACGTCGTTTATTGTGAAAATTCGGTCACAGTTCCTATGACCACTGTTTCATTGCTTTTATGGCTTTATTTTGTTGATTTTAGATACGTTTTTTGGTTTGGCCATGTTTGTTTGTTGTAGTACAGAGTTAGACTGATGGCCTTAATCTAAGTTATCTTGTGGTTGTTGTTGGTTGTTTGACTTGCATCCCACTGGGATTTTTGCACACAGCGTTGATGTACGGTGCTTTTTCTGCAATATTTTGCTGTCTTTTCTTGGATTTTCTGTTTGCACTCAGTCACATATTAACTTTAAGATATTTTTTGTTCATGTTTTTGTTTTTTGTTTGTTGCAGGTTGCACCCGATTCAAGAGCCGAATGGCTCACAGGGCTATACCTAATACATGAACTTGAAATAAATGAACTTGAACTTCTGCGGCCGTCTGGAACGCTCTCCCTTACGTTTTTCGGAAGCCACTGGGAGCTATACACTTTTAAATCATCTCGATTGAAAACCCATTTCTTCAGACCTGCCTGTTGTGTTTAGTTTGTTGTCCTTCCCCCGCACATCCGATTAGCGCGATTGGCGCCGTACGGTGCGAAAGAAGTTCAACTTACGCAAAATTGGGGTGCGTCTTACTTTTGCGGAGCGGCTCATATTCCGGATAATACGCGACGATGAATCGAGGATTTTGCGCTTGAGGCATCAAAGCACTCGACATGGCGATGGACGCGGTTTAGAGGGGCACGCAGTCATTGACGACGAACAGGAGAACGGACGCTGAAAAGTGCGCGGAGAAGCGTGCAAAGAACGCATCCTCGGAAATCAAGACCGCGAGGTTGAACGATGACTGCCTGTATTGGAGGACACACGCCAGCTAATTACATCGATCGGCAAAGTCATCGGGCGAGACGTGTTCCGCGAGATGGCTGCTCGCAGTCGAGAGAGACTCGGCTTTGAAGCATCGACCGATTTGTAGTGACGCGTTTCATCGCTTGCGAGTTGGTTGGTTACGATCCTGATCTTATCCGACCTTTATAATTATAGAGCGCTTCGCTTCACATAGTTACAAACACGAGACGGCATGAACAGAGAAATGATTCAGATGGCAGGGGCGTCCAGGGGCTGTGGAATGCATGGCCAGGATAGAGCGCTGCGTAGGAGTTATAGGGGGTTAGGGAACGGAATGGAAAGACATGGAGGGTAGAGGGAAGCGATTGTGCAACAGAGAAGAGTTTGAGGCTTTAAGAGAGGAGAACGGAAGGATGTTAAGGAGTGGTGAGAGGGTGCTGCTTGATCTTTGACACTGAGAGGGAGAGAAGAAGAAACGAAAGAGTGGAGTAGTGGGAGGTGCAAGCAGCAGCAGCAGCCTGCAGGTGCAGCCCCATCCGCTGTGGGTGCAGGAGCCAGGCGAAAGGGGGTGGAGCTAACCATACGGGGGGGGGGGGGCTCCACTATAAGGGGCGTCACCAGCCGCTGTAGCCACGCCCAGATAGCACGGTGTTCGTTGCGCAACTGCTGGCTGAGATGCGGACAAAGCAGGCGGAGAGGCAACGATTGAGTTGTGGGATTTTGAAGAGCGGCGGTTGTGGGGGCGATTCGACTCATTGCTCGGCTGGTTATTGAGCCCCCCTCCTCCCCCTGGCACTTTCAGATGGGGGCAGCAGCTCTGAGTTCCTTCCCGCTGGGCTACGTGGGTCAGCACGAGAATCCGCTGGCCACGTTCATCGGCTGGGCGGACGTGATTGGAGACTCGCAGCCGGCCGCCGGGGGCACGAGACCGCAGCCGACTCTCGACGGTGAGGAGGAGCCCCTCGACAAAGGCCTCCTCCCGGAAGAAGGTGTCGTCATCATCGTCACTGTCGTCGCCGTCGTCATCAACATTGTCATCAACATCACCATCGTCATCAACGTCACTGTCGTCATCAACGTCATCACCATCGTCGTCGTCGTCATCATCAACATCAACACCATCATCATCAACATCACCATCGTCATCATAATCACCTCCGTGATCATCATCACTATCGTCATCATCACCGTCGTCATCATCACCATTATCATCGTCATCAGCATCATCACCGTCATCATCATCACCATCGTCATAAACATCACCATCGTCATAATCATTATCTCCATTGTTATCAACATCATAACCATCGTCATCATCATCATCATCTCCGTTGTCATCAACATAATTACCGTCGATTTAAAGCTTTCGTGACTGCAGGGATTCATTTTCTTGGTTCTTTCGGTAAAGTCACGTAGAAGGGAAGTAATAAAATAATAAAAATAAAACATAATAAAATAATTCTGACGACGTTTCGGCCACAACGCAAGCAGCCGTCCTTCTACGTTATTTTACCGAAAGAACCAAGAAGATGAATCCCTGCAGTCACAAAAGCTTTAAATCGAAAGCCCCAAGGTTACTCTCGAAAACGAGACTCATCCTGGTCTCTTGGGCTATCACCTGATTAAACGCAGTAAACTTAAAACTTGACTCGCATTAAAGCTGCGGCCATTACGAGACACTCAGTCAGCCCCTATACAGAGACTCCTCTACTTACGAACGAGGTAGATTTAAGAGGTCTGTTAGTAAGTCGATTTGTTCATAAGTCCAACTTTATTCCTGTCGATTCCAAACATGTTGTAAGGCATGTACACTAAGCACGGGGAAATGGCTTAAAACTTTATAAGCTCCTATAGATGTAGATGCCACCGGTTCTTCGTGTTCTGCAGATGTAGATGCCACTGGTTCTTCATATTCTGCAGATGTAGATGCCACTGGTTCTTAATGTTCTACAGATGTAGATGCCAATGGTTCTTCACGTTCTGCAGATGTAGATGCCACTGGTTCTTCACGTTCTGCAGAGTTAGATGCCACTGGTTCTTCAAATTCTGCAGATGTAGATGCCACTGGTTCTTTGTGTTCTGCAGATGTAGATGCCACTGGTTCTTCATATTCTGGATGTAGATGCCACCACCGCCATTTATTTCGCGGCGGTTGAACTTACGACTCTCGGTCCAAACAGGCAACTGGACATACAGACAGGTTTGTTCGTATCTCTAAATGTTCGTAAGTCGAATGTTCATAAGTAGAGGAGACCCTGTATTGCGAGTGCAGTTACAGGTGTGAGCCGTAACACTGCTTGTGTCTGTGTGGTTGCCTCCCACTCGTTCCAGCAGAAATCAAGAGGCTCAGTTCACATCATCACGCCAACCACATCTACCCGGAGCCTTCGGCGTAGTCCATCTCTTCTCTGTAGAGAGGGGGTGCGAAGGTGGTTTCTGTGTACTTCGGTAATGGACACTCCCACCAACCCCCCCCCCCCCTCTCAATCCCGGCATCCAAATGGAACATTCCACAGCGAAGCTGGTATTGCTGCCCCACGGTGCAGCGCGGAGGGGTTGCACCTAAAAGGTACAAAAAACTCGGGACGTATCGCGGGAAGGTGTAGGATGGGAATATCTCACAGTAGCAGAAGAGTGGGCCATGTAAGGCGTCGTCTTGAGTGGCATAGTCTGAGAAGTCCACAATTTCCTGCTGAAATGAAGCACTCAGTGGACGATTATTATAATGAATATGCTAGTTACACAACTGACAATTTCCCCGGAGAGACGGATAGATCTGCCAGAGCAGGGACAGGTGGCAAGCCGATAACGCACTCACCCACTCACGAGCTCACTCATTCACCCACCCAATTACCCACTCACTCTCTTATCCACTCACCCACCCATCCAGGTGCCAGTGAGATTTTCACTCTGGAGAGGGGCGCCGTGAAATGACAGGGCGAGCCAATCGATGTGGCACGGCCGAAATCTTGTACGTACAAAGACAACAAAGCAACCCTCTGTATAGACCTCACCAGGCTGTTGGGGCAAATGCTGTTAGCGAGCACCTATTAAGGCGTGCACGGCACACGAGGAGGTAGGGGGCAAACAGCCACGCCCGGTCACCTTCGTCTCCCCGGTTGCTGATATTTATGGCTGAGTCGACCTAGGGGAGGCCCAGGGCTGGTTCAAATATTCGCCACTGTTGTTGGTTGTTCCCCGGGTTTGCAGCGCAGTTTCCCATAATCGTGGGCAGCAGTGGTGGTGAGCAAGTCAGTTTAAGACTCAGTGAGGCTTTCACGACCAATATGTCCGACAGCCAATGAAGTAAGGTTTGTCACAGCAGCAAAACATGCCAATGAGTTACTACTTTAGCAACGTCGGTTGTGACATTTTACAAGTCGAGTAGCGTGAAGATTCGCTGGCGATTGCAACATCCGGCATTCATCATCAAGCGATGAGGCGCATCGCCTGATGGTGAGCAACAATCATGACATCCCAATCCTGGCATCCAAATCCTGGCATCCCAATCCTTGAATCCCAATCCTGGCATCCCAATCCTGGCATCCCAATCCTTGCATCCAAATCCTGGCATCCAAATCCTTGAATCCCAATCCTTGAATCCCAATCCTGGCATCCAAATCCTGGCATCCAAATCCTTGAATCCCAATCCTGGTATCCCAATCCTGGCATCCCAATCCAGGCATCCCAATCCTGCAATCCCATTCCTGGCACCAATGCTGGCATCCCAATCCTGGCATTAAAATCCTGGCATCTCAATCCTGCAATCCCAATCCTGGCACTTCAATCCAGGCATCCCAATCCTGCAATCCCAATCCTGCAATCCCAATCCTGGCATCCCAATCCTGCAATCCCAATCCTGGCATCCCAATCCAGGCATCCCAATCCTGCAATCCCAATCCTGCAATCCCAATCCTGGCATCCCAAACCTGGCATCCCAAATCGTGGCATCCCACGCCACCCTCCGGAGTCCATGCAAATCACCTTGTCCGCCTCCTCCTCTTCCTCCTCGCAAAGAGAGAAGGGGACAGGCGGCGCCACACGACGCCAATAAAAACAAACATCGCCTAGACGCCCACGCGATTCTCAGGTAAAGTTGACGAGGAAGCGAGGAGGGTGGGGGGTGAGGGGGCATGGGTTCGAGAATTGTTTATTATTAGTATCATTAATATAAAGTTAAACTATCGTTGTTATTATTTTTTTAACCAGGCAAAGCCTATACACTTTGGTTCTTTCGGTAAAGTCACGTAGGTATAAAATAAAATAAATCACGACGTTTCGGGCAGACGATGCTTTCCCACCTGATGACGGACGCTTGTGTTGTGCCAGAAACGTCGTGATTTATTTTATTTTATACCCACGTGACTTTACCGAAAGAACCAAAGAGTATGGATTCCTTGCAGTCAGGTAAAGCCTACCGAGCTATGTACAGTAGCTCTTTTTCAGAAGCGACTTGGCTATCACAAATGATAGCTCAACGAAGTGGCTCGTCATCGTGTGGACTTACTCTATACGGGTGACGTCCATTTTAAATGAGGAGGGAAAAACTTGAGGACCCGGAGAACAATCGACGCGACCACAGGGAAAGATGACATGCAGACTCCAAATATACAGCAGGCGTCAGGATCGGGATCGAACCCGCGTACTCCTGTATACCTGGAAAGTGTGTTAACATTTCGTCACCTCGGTTGATGATGACGATAATAGCAGCCAGCGCCTTGTCCAGATAGACGTTTCTGGGCCCTGATTGCCGTGGGCGGTTTGTGGATGTGTCTGTGACATGCTGAGTTCGTGCGGCAGGTTAGCGATCAAATTTCGATTTAAAGCTTTCGTGACTGCAGGGATTCATCTTCTTGGTTCTTTCGGTAAAGTCACGTAGAAGGGAAGTAATAAAATAATAAAAATAAAACATATGTCACGTAGAAGGGAAGTAATAAAATAATTAAAATAAAAGATGTTTTAGTTTTTAAATAATAATTAAAAATAAAACATATGTTTATTTTTAAATAAAACATATGTTTTATTTTTTATTATTTTATTACTTCCCTTCTACGTGACTTTACCGAAAGAACCAAGAAGAGGTTAGCGATCCATGATACGAATCCGGCAACCCGAGTTCGATTCCCGTACACCGCCACCAATACCCATGAAGATTATCTGCACCAGTCCTGGGCCTCCCCTAGGCCGACTCAGCCTCAAATTAGTACCTGCTGCGGTGTGTAAACATCGCCACTGGGGAGACAAAGGCGGTCGTGCGTGGTGCTCGCCATCGTGTGCGGGCCTTCATAGATGCTCGCTAACAGCACTTGCCCCAAAAGTATGTTGAGACTATAAGGGGGATCTTTGTATTTGCCTTGACATGTTTAGTTAAGTTCCTATATTTCAGATTGAAGCACTTGTACGTTCTTGTTCAGCACAAAGTATTTTCATATTAAAACAAAAACAATATTGAAAGCAAACAATGGCTGGGATTTTTATTTTTCTATTTGATGTTTCTCATTCCTTCATGAGAATCGGAAAGGTCAATAACGTCAAGCGGCCGGTAACAAACAGCACTCTCAAAGTTGTGATCGATACGAGTGTCTAAGGTTATTATTATTTTCAGGAGAGTTTAGCAAGAGAGAACGGTGAGATGAGGGCATTCTAAAGTGTGGAACAGGGCAAGGGAAGAAGCAGAAAGAAAAGTGATGTGACCTGCTGTGCGCTGCGTGAGTGGGTGAGTGAGAGGGTGAGTCAGTGAGTGGGTGAGTGAGTAGGTGAGTGAGTGGTTGAGTGAGTGGGTGACTGAGTCGGTGAGTTAGTGGGTGAGTCGGTGAGTCAGTGAGTGGGTGAGTGAGTGGGTGAGTGAGTGGGTGAGTGAGTGGTTGAGTGAGTGGGTGACTGAGTGGGTGAGTTTGCGAGTGACTGCGTCGGTGGGTGAGTGAAGTGGGTGGGTTGGTGAGTGAGTGGGTGAGTCAGTGATTGGGTGGGTGAGTGGGTGGGTGGGTTGGTGAGTGAGTGGGTGGGTGAGTGAGTGAGTGAGTGGGTGAGTGAGTGGGTGGGTGAGTGAGTGGGTGAGTGAGTAAGTTGTTGAGTTAGTGGGTGAGTAAGTAAGTGGGTGAGTCAATGAGTGGGTGGGTGATTGAGTGAGTGGGTGAGTGAGTGGGTGAGTGAGTGGTTGAGTGAGTGGGTGACTGAGTGGGTGAGTTTGCGAGTGACTGCGTCGGTGGGTGGGTGAAGTGGGTGGGTTGGTGAGTGAGTGGGTGAGTCAGTGATTGGGTGGGTGAGTGGGTGGGTTGGTGAGTGAGTGGGTGGGTGAGTGAGTGAGTGAGTGGGTGAGTGAGTGGGTGGGTGAGTGAGTGGGTGAGTGAGTAAGTTGTTGAGTTAGTGGGTGAGTAAGTAAGTGGGTGAGTCAATGAGTGGGTGGGTGAGTGAGTGAGTGGGTGAGTGAGTGGGTTAATGAGTTGCTGAATGGGTGAGTGAGTGAGTGGTCAACTCAGCCTCAAATGAGTACCTAATACGGTGTGTAAAACATCGCCACTAGGGAGACAAAGGCGGCCGAGCATGGTGCTGGCCACCCACCCCCTCGTGTGCCTTTCCGGCCTTCATAGCTGCTACTCCGCAAACAGCACTTACCCGAACAGTCTGTTAAGGCTACACGGGGGATCTTTGTCTTTGTGTGTGTGCGTGTGCGTGAGCCGTGCCGCGCTACGGTGGTGGTGGGGTGCCTCCACACACAATAGGAACTCGATGAGATGTTTTTTTTTTAACTCCACCCCTGAACTTGAACGTTATTGCTGTCCGGGCGGACTGGCGCTGGCTGGCTTTGTGCATTCCGCAGCTGAGTCCCGGTGATTGGCAATGACTGACACAAGAGAAACAGAAAACACAACCGGGCAGAGTTCCCAGAGTGAGTGGCTCGCCCCGGCCACTGCTGACTATGAGAGGCGTCAACTACCTCGCCTGGTGTACAGGAGGTCGTGGGTTCAATCCCGACCCCTGACACCTGCTGCTGTGTATTTGGAGTTTGCGTGTTCTCTCTCGCGCTCTCTCTCTCTCCGCACGTGGTCGCGTCGATTTTTGCCAGGTGCTCCAGGTTTTCCCTCCACATTTAAAAATCAACATCAGGCGTTTAGAATATTTGACTGCTATACATTGCCACATGATAAGCCACTTCGTTGAGCTATCATTTGTGGCCAGGTCGCTATAGCTCAGTTGGCTTTACCTAGTAAAATAAAATAAAAACATAGTTTATAGGTGTACCTGATGTACAAGGTCAAGGCACAGTCCTGCAATTACCTGCTCGTGCCACTACGGAAGGGACATGAAAGCTCAACGAAGTGGCTTATCACGGCAATGTACAGCAGCCAAATGCTCTAAGCAAATGTTTCTAAATGTGAACTTTAACACCGGAGACCCCGGAGAAAAATCCACGCGACCACAGGGAGAGAGAGAGAGAGACACACGAACTCCAAATATACAGCAGCAGGCGTCAGGGTCGCGAACTAAACCACGACCTCCTGCCTACCAGGCGAGGTAGTTAACATCTCGCCACCGTTTAAACCAGTGGTTCTTAACATTTACTGCAGCCTTGAACTCCTTTGGTTATCAAGCGCAAATGTTTAAGTGAATGAATATACACAGGGTTTGATGAAACAAAACAGTGCCCGTGCTTAAATAGCATTTCGATTATTTATCTTAGAAATAAATCAATAAAACCACGGCCACGTCTCGCACCCCCAGAAAGGGCATCTTGCACCCTCACTGCTCCAAGCCAACCCACAGCGTTCATCCACTCGCTAAATACAGGAGCGGGGTCTCACCACGCGGTGTGGGTCACGGACCTTGTTTGGCCACACTTCCACCAACCATGCTGGCGCGTGAGTTTGGTCGTCCTCGAGTTCTCTCATTGCACGGACTAATATTAAGGTTTAAACTATGAGACATCTCCTTTACCAGTGGCAAAATATAGTAATAGGTTTTCACCCTTTCAACTGGTACAAAAACTGACACCTTTATAAAAGGCATCATGTTTGCAATAACCACAACACAAGCAGTCAAAATGCAAAAAAAAATAAACAACTCTGATGATGATAATGATATGCACTGTCCTTGAAGTTGATTGGTCCACACCGAGACAGCTTTTTGGCGTCATCTGGTCCAACACCAATGGAGACTAGGCTCTAAGAAAAGCTGTCTCAGGTGTACACCAATCAACTTCAAAGACAGTGCATATCATTATCATCATCAGAGTTGTTTCTTTTTGTTTGCATTTTGACTGCTTGTGTTGTGGTTATTGCAAACATGATGCCTTGTATAAAGGTGTCAGTTTTTGTACCAGTTGAAAGGGTGAAAACCTATTACTAACATCAAGGTCTACGAGAAACTTGTTGGCAAAGTTGTCTCTTCGCCGAATCGCCCCCTTTACTCGTGACGGCTCCTTCCACGCGTGCATGGCCACGCGCGTGACACGCCGGGAACGCGCCGCGCAGCGAAACAAAATCCACAGAACCCGAAACTCCCCCACCCCCGCCGCCCCCACCCTTCTCACAACACTCGAGTGTTGAACGATTTGTAAAAAATAAACATTTTTTTTCTAAAACATTCACTCACGCATGCTTTTTTCTCTCTAACCCTCCCATAGATCAACCACCTGCCCCCCCCCCCCCACCACCACCTCCCCCGCATCTCCACCCCCTAAATCCGTGGCGAGGAGGTGATATCAGCAGTACGTTTGGGCTACTGATGGTTTTATCGTTGACATATCTTGGGGCAAAGAAGAAGGGGGGTTAAGTTTGGCACTCTGCCACATCGTGCAGCTTGATCTCGTTACACCCACCTCTCCCCTCGCACGCAGGGAGAGATTACTGCTCGCTTCGCAGGTGCAAAGGAATCTGAAATTTTTTGGGGGGGGGCTTTCAAAAGAAAGAAGTGAACGATCCAGATTGGCGGTCGAGTTGGGATTTCGAGAAGTCATCGCGACGTCACGAGTTCTGGGTTTATACTGCTGATAGAAATACTACTAATAATGTGCATAGTATTGCAATAAAACTGTTTGGTTCTTTCGGTAAAGTCACGTAGGTACGTAGGTACGTGACTTTACCGAAAGAAACAACTTTGACTTTTTCTTCTTGGTTCTTTCGGTAAAGCCACGTAGAATGGAAATAATAAAATAATACAAATAAAACATAATAAAATAATTCTCACGACGTTTCGGCCGCAAATCAAGCAGCCGTCTTCGTGACTTTATCGAAAGAACCAAGAAGATGAATCCCTGCAGTCACGAAAGCTTTAAATCTTAATTTAACTTTGACTTTGCCGAAATAACTAAAGAGTATGGATTCCTGCAGTCACGAAAGCTTCAACTCAAGAATAAAATATTCATAAATTGTTAATAATATATTTATTAATAAAATATATTCATCATATGTACATTATTGCTTTATTATAATTGTACTATATTATTAGTTTATTAATTTTATTAATATTGTATTACTAATGATAATATAACCTTCATAAAATATGAATATCTTCTTGGTTCTTTCGGTGAAGTCACGTAGAATGGAAATAACCTGAGGACGGCTGCTTGCATTGTGGCCGAAACGTCTTGAGAATTATTTTATTATGTTTTATTTTTATTATTTTATTATTTCCATTCTACGTGACTTTACCGAAAGAACCAAGAAGATGAATCCCTGCAGTCACGAAAGCTTTACATCGAAAAATAAAATATGAATACGTAATAAAATGTCGGTAAGAATATTTTCCATGATAAAGTTTATTTTTGTTGTTGTTAGGGGTTAGATAGCGTAAACATAAATGTGTCGTTAAACCCGAAACCACCCGACACAACCAATTAAGTAAGAGGTTCGTCACGTAACACAACACGTGCCAATTAGTGACCAGTTCAGCACGCACCGGCCACGTGTTGGATTACTCGGCGCCTGATGATGCCGGTTGTAATTACCAGCGAAACGCCGCATTCGATTTGCGAAAGTTGTGGGTTTACTCTCCAACACACAGCGCCGGTATGCGGAAGTAGTAATTCATGGGCATGTGTTGTTAACGTGACATAACAATTGGCTGTGACGGGATGGTGACGGGTTTAAAGGCACATATTACATTTACGCGATCTAACCCATAACAACCTTTGTTGTGAATAACATTGGTCGCGAAAGCCTACCAACGTTTCAATCTGATAACAATAGTTTTTTAGTTGTTGCATGTGTACAGCGCTTGCAGAAATGCCACCAGCAACTCGAAGCAACCTTGGACCTCAACTCGTCCTCAGGATTCATCTTCTTGGTTCTTTCGGTAAAGTCACGTAGAAGGGAAGTAATAAAATAATAAAAATAAAACATAATAAAATAATTCTCACGACGTTTCGGCCACAACGCAAGCAGCCGTCCTCAGGTGAATTATTTTATTATGTTTTATTTTTATTATTTTATTGCTTCCCTTCTACGT